GCTTCTGGGTAGAAGCACGGGTCAGACGAATTCGGTGGCTGCAGGCGATTGCGATGTTTTCGCTGACGCATGTGCAGGTGCTTGTCAGCGTTTTTGGAGAGCTGTGTATCGGAGACTCGGTGCCCCTGCCTAACGGGATGGTCAAGCCAGATGCGAACTCGTGGGGACAGCACCGGTGGCAATATTTGCAAGCGTTGCATGTGCTCGAGGAGGGGCAAGACCTGCTCGAGCAGTCTAATTTCAACCTCCGAAGTATCCTGATGGAGGGCGCAGAAGATTTTTGTCGTATCGACTTGAGACAGCTGCGTGCACACTACCTTCATCACGTGCGTGAACATAGACACCGTGCTGAAGACACTCAACATGATGCTACACACGTGCATGATGATGAAAAGAGGTACGTATGCACACTACTCCATGGAGATGGATATCAGGGTACGGCACGATTCGCTACGCGCGCCCGGTTACATACACATCAGGCACATGCTCTCGGTGGGGAACACGGGGTTGGAAATTACGCACGCAGGCTCGCGGTCACTAACATATGTCCGATCTGCTCCACGCTTTTTGTTGGCGTGAACGCGTCACGTGCACACGCAGTAAGAAGCGTCCAGAACAATGGCTGTCGTGGTGACATGCGTTACCGTATCTACACACTTCTTGAATGTGATCCCGTACAGTGCCCATTGTGCCTCGGATTTTTTGAGACCGCGCAGCAGTTGGCGCGGCATTCTCGGCAGCGTCTCACACCGCTTTTACCAGCAGAGTACGATGCCGAGTTTCCTATTAGCTGGAGTCAAGGGGCCGAGATCCAATATGCCACGGACAGACTCAGGAGGGAAGAGGACAGGGCCATCCGCGCAGAGCTCAGATCAGCTCGACAAAATTCGGGGCCAACTTCTTTGTCAGCTGGAGGCGCGCATGAGAGCAGTAGAGAAGGACACAGTGTGCAGCGTAGTCCTGGCCCAGGACAACCTCGTTGCCCTGCAGTGCTCGGGCGCGTATCTGGAGTATCTGGATGCGATGCAGGGGGAGACGAAGGGGGGGGGGCAGTCGCACGGGGGGGGCGGAGTTACAAGTATGCTACGCACTAGTAGACGGCTTGCTGAAGTACAAGCTCGCTGATTCTGCACTGGCGCCCTCGCACGAGGCCCTTCGCAGGCTGCAGAACATGATCGAGGGGGGAGGAGCGGAGGAGGCCAGCATGTGGATCAAGTCGTGCGCAGTCATTCCCATGTACAGCTCAGACGCCAAGAAGAAGGTTCGTCTGTATTTCAACCTGATCGGTCAGATCGCAGTGCTAGAGACCCCCGAGAAGGAGGAGGCTTTCCAGCAGGCCCAGGAGACCGCCAGGACGGAGGGGAGGTGGGAGCAGGTCCAGATGAATCCGTTGGAGGTACCCGCTGCGCGCGCCGCCGTGGGGAAAATGATCCAGGTCAACGGCTTTTTGGCCCGATTGCTTCGGGGCGCTGGAGGGCAACGACAGCTGGGGCGGGCACCGAGGGGCAACGCGGCGAGGCAGATCAAAGGCAAGGGCAAGGGCAAGAAGGAGAAGGGAGAGGACAAAGAGGCGGACAAGTGAAAGGACGGGGACGAGGTAGAGGACGAGGAGTAGGTAGGGCTGGGGGTAGGGCTGCCCCATCTCGCAGCGAGGGGCGCGGGAAGGGTCGCAGCATGGACGCGGTGCCGCCACCGCCTTGAGGGACCGCTCGAGGGGTGGGGACCGCCGCCCACGCGGCCGCCGGCCGCCGATATCGCTTAATCTTGATTCGACGTTCGGCGTGGTCGTCGTCGTCGACCGGTCGAATTCGCTGCATCGCAGCTCGTAGCAGCGCGAGAGTCGCGGCACAGACGTAAGGCTGCGCTGGCATCCCAGAGTCCAGTGTAGCGTGGTGTTAGTTCACGAGGGCTTGAATGGGTCGAGAGAGAAAAGGGGGGGGAGGAAAACGAGCAGGAGGAGGGGGAGGAGGCGGAGGGAAGAGGAAGAGGGGGAGGATAAGGAAGAGGAGGGGGAGGGAAGAGGACAACTAGGAGTGGGAGGAGGAGGCCTTCGGCGACTGTCTGAAACTAGGTCATCCCAGGGGCGCGAAGATATTCGTGCTTCGCGCGTCGCGGCCTGGGCTAGAGAATTGGCCTCCTCCAAGGTGGCCTCGCGATGGCCTCGCGAGGGCGTGAAGAACATCCACAACCATAACAGCTACTATTACTACTACTCCTATGTGTTACTGTCGTTTTCGCTGCTGTCACCGGTGTTACCAAATTACAATAGATAACAATAATATCAATACTGATCCCATATGTTACTATCGTCACTGCTGTTGTTACGGGTGCGGATACAACAACAATTGTTATTATCAGTACTAATACATCCACAAATATTATTGTTGATGTTACTCGCCTCATTCCCGTGGATTACTATCGTTACCACTACTGCTACTGGTACGACTGCAACTACGCCTACTAGTGCGATCGCTATTTCAACAAGTATTATTATTGAGGCGATCGCAACTATGCGAATGTTTTTAATGATCGTTGCGGCTACTGGTACTACAAAAGCACAAATGTTCAACCTACTACGGCAACGGCAAATATTCATGTGGCTACCGCTGCGATGCACATGTGTTATTCTCGTGGTTGCTACTTGTATTCGTACGAGCACAACGATTCGAACGACTACTCATCCTACTGCTACTGCTACTACTACTGCTGCAATCACTACTGCTAGTACCACTACTACGGCGTTACTGTTGTTGATATTGCTACAATAACTAGTCCTACCACTCCCTGCTACTATGGATATTTGGAAGGCTGCAACGAGCATGCGGATGTTGATGATGATAGTGGTGCTGCCGGTGATGATGATGATCATGATGCTGATGATGATGATGATGGTGATGGTGATGGTGATGATGATGATGATGATGATGATGATGATGATGATGATGATGATGATGATGAAGAAGCTGATGATGACAATGATGCTGAGGAGGAGGAGGAGGAGGAGGAGGAGGAGGGGAGGAGGAAGACGAGCAAGATGAGGGGGAGGTGGCGGAGGGTAGAGGAAGAGGGGGAGGATAAGGAAGAGGAGGAGGAGGAGGGATGAGTACAACGAGGAGCACGAGGAGGAGGCCTTCGGCCGCTGTCTGAGATTCGGTCACTCCAAGGGCGCGAAGGTAATCGTTCTTCGCGCGTCGCGGCCTGGGCTAGAGAGCTGGCCTCCTCCAAGGTGGCCTCGCGATGGCCTCGCGGGGGCGCGAAGATATCCGTGCGTCGCGCTCCCTCCGTCGCCGGTGCCGCCGCTGTCGCCGCCGCCCGCCGTCGCCGCCGTCGCTGCGCCCGCGCGCGCGCCCGCGCCCGCGCGTGGGTGAGAGGATGATGGCGAGGAAAGTGAGGAGGAAAAGGGGGAGGAGGAGCAGAAGGAGGGGAGCATGCGGGGAAGACTAGGAGGAGGAGGAGGAGGAGGAGGAGGAGGAGGAGGAGGAGGAGGAGGAGGAGGAGGAGTGGGAGGAGGAGGAGGAGGAGGAGGAGGAGGAGGAGGAGGAGGAGGAGGAGGCCCGTTTCGCGTGAGGCATTCTCGGAAGTCTGGGTTCCAACGCGCCACGACATGTGATTATCGAAACGGTCTCGCCTGGGACATTTTCACCTATCCGGCGCATTCCGCTTGAAACATCCTCGGCACTCTGGGATCCGATATGCTTTGAGTCGAGGTGATTTGGCCACCATCGCCTGAGCCATCTTCACACTTCTGGATTCCGAGATGCCTTGCCCCATTGTACTCCAGCCACTCCCGCCGGAGACATCCTCGGCTGAGGTGGACATACCACTTTCGCTCAAGATATCCTCACAAATCTGACCTCGGAGGTGCGCTGCCCCATGGTGGCTTGGCCACTTTCGCTTGTAACATCCCTGCAACTGTGGCTGCCGAGACGCCCAGGGTTGAGGTGTTCAGGCCACTTTCGCGTCAGACATCCTCGCAAGTCTGACCGCGGAGTTGCCCTGCCCCCAGCCCCACCTGCTGCATCCTCGCACCTGTGGGTTCAGGGATGCCCTGAGCTCAGATATTCGCGCCACTTTCGCTTGAGACATCCTCGCAACGCTGACCTCAGATATTCCCTGCCCCAAATTGTGGTGGCCAGCTCCGCCTAGACAAACTCGCAGTGTTGACCTGGGATGCGCCCTGCCTTGAAGCAATCTGACCCCTGATCTGCCGCGAGATGCTGTGTTCAGGCCTTTTTCGCCTGAGACGCCCTCGCACCTCTAACTTCGGAGGTGCCCTACCCCATGGCGGTCTGGCCACTTTCGCCTGCGACATCCTCGCAACAGTGGCTTCCGAGACGCCTATAGCTGACCTGTTCAGGCCATCTTCGCATGAGACATCCTCGTAACTCTCGGTTCCGTGATGCCCTGAGCTGAATGGTCAGGCCATTTTCGCCTTAGACATCCTAATAGATCTGACCTCGGATATGCCCTGCTCCAAGTTGGTTCGGCCACTGTCGCCTGAGACCCTCGCAGAGCCTGCACTACCACGCAGATCATCGCATGCGGCGGCAGAGGCTCGGACCCCTGCGGGACTCCGTCCGCACCACAGCCAATCACTCAACTCACGCTGATCAGGCAGGGCCGCCCCAGAGCCGTCGCCGTCGCCGTCGTCTTCGCGGCGGGGGCCTGACAACCAGCCGATAAACCGGTAAACCGATGTGCGGCGGGAAGATCGATTCTTCAGGGTTGCCCCCAGCGGTCTCAGACCAGCCAGTCACCCGATGAGCCGATAAACCGATACACCGACGAAGAGAGGGAGAGCGCGCCGGCCATCGTGTCTGTGTTCGCGGACACAGGTTATCGGTTTTTGTTCGGCTGAGAGGCCGATCCACCGATGAACCGATCAAATTATGTCGGTTTTTCGGTTGATCGGTTTGTAAACCGATCAACCGATTAGTTTTTATCGGTTTATCGGTTTATCGGTCGGATGGATTTCCGGAGGCCGTTGCCGCTGCACTCGGATCTTGGCTCTAGCGCCCGCGCCCAGCCAAACACGAGAATTTTGAGCCTCTCCGCAAAAGAATGTCGGGCCCGTCTGTTTACCTGGGAGGATCTCGGCCCATCGTCATGTACAACGGCGTCGTTCTGGGGGACGTTCCAGCGCCTATTAAGCACGTCCCTGCGGACGACTCGCTGACACACAATTGGTACGAGCATTCCGCGGGGTTGTGCGCCGCGGACGACGTGGCCGCGAGCAACGCCGAGATCACTCTGCGTGCGACCCTGCCGCGAGACCCGCACGAGGAGCAGCCCGAGGCCGCGTCCACCGCCTGCGACGGCCTCGACACGGACAGCGACTTCGGGGACTACTCGGCGACGCGCGGCTCCTGCGTCTCCTCGCTGGGCCCCGTCTCCGCCTCGGCGAGCCTGCTCTGCGAGGCCGCCCCGCCCTCGGGCCCGCGCGCCGTGCCTCCTCCTCCTCCTCCTCCTCCTCCTCCTCCTCCTCCCTCCTCCTCCTCCTCCTCCTCCTCCTCCTCCTCCTCCTCCTCCTCCTCCTCCTCCTCCTCCTCCTCCTCCTCCTCCTCCTCCTCCTCCTCCTCCTCCTCCTCCCTCCTCCTCCTCAGGGCGGCGGCGGCGCCCTCGCAGCCCCCCCGGGCGGCCCCGCCGGCGCGGGGCGCGGCGAGCGGAGGGGCGCGCCGCCCTCGCTGGAGCCGCCGCGCGCTCCGCAGGCCACGGCGGGGGCGGCGGCTGCGGGGCGGACGAGGCGAGCGAGGCACACCCGGAAGATGATCGAGAGGAGCTCGGGCCTGGAGGATCCGGGGGTGGACAGACCTCCCACCCCGACGCGTCGATGGAGGAATTGGCCGTTCTCGGTGCGCGGGGTTGGCGTCGCGGCCGTCGTTTCTGCGGGTCCAGGTCCGTCGGTTTCGGTCCCGGGCCGTTTTCACTGAGGGGAGGTTCGCTAAGGGGAGGTTTGTCCACCGCCGAAGGATCCTGGCAAGATCACGACCATGATGGTGAGCAACCTGCCCCTGAGGCTCCAGCGGTCGGAGCTCATGGACATGCTTGACGGGTCTGGCTTCGACGGCGTGTACGATTTCTGTTATGTGCCGTCCGACTTCCACTCTGGCATGAACAACGGGCACGCCTTCATCAATTTTCACGACCATGGCACAGCAGTGCGATTCAAGGAGGCATGGCACGCCGCCGCACCTTTCCGAGACTACTCCGACAGCCAGACGTTGAGGGTAGTTCCTGCGCGCATCCAGGGCCTCAGGGCCAACGCCAAGATGGCAAGTGTGAGGATGAACGTGCGCAACCCCAAGCACCATGGGCTTGTTTCCACCAAGGATCAGTCTGTCAACGGCCAGTGAACTAACTGCCGTGAAGGACTGTCGGTGAGGGCAGCCACACGAAATAGAAACAGCTGCATACACAGAAGTTCTCGGAGCTCCGCACATTTTTGTCCGTGTTTGCGCTTCGCGCAACATAATTAGAGGATGTTCTAGATGTTATGACGCATGTCGTATTTGCAGTATCAGCCGAATTCGTGGAGATTGCGCTGCATGTTCGCTTTTTTGCCACGGACCCTGGTTGAGTCAGAACAGAATAGTGAGCACAGGCGCGTTGCCTTCTGTTCGAGCCATGCACTTCTGGCCAGGCAGCGGCCTACTGCCCACGCACTTCTGACCAGTGCCCACGCACTTTGGCCAGGCCACGGCCCGCATGAGCCGCTGAACTCGGCGGAGACGCCGAGCAGGCAAGGCCGCCCTCAACGGAGGGAGCATTGCGGGCCACTCCTGGCAGCTGCCGAACCGTCATCGTCTGAGCGCGCATTGGCCTGCCGCCTCTTCTGACAATGATCTCTCACAGTTGCTTTAGGTTTTCGCCAGGCAGGAGATATCTGTGTACGCAATTCGATTTCTGGAGGAGACAATTGTGTACGTATATAGATTTTTGGATTTGGAGTCTCCCGCCATGCGTCCACCGCCTCCTTCTGGAGCTGCCCAGCTCGGCGGCGCGAGCCGCCTTTGAGCCGCGCGGCGAACTCTTGCTTCCGGCCCGCTCAGTTGTTGCTTGCGCGCGTTGCTGGCACGTTCCGCCCCCGCCCCGACTTTGAGTCGCGCGGCCGGCTTAGGTGCTAGCAAATCTTGCTCCCGCCCTGGATGGGCCCTGGAGCCATTGCCACTTGCCGCCGCAGTGCTCGACCATCCAGCAGAGATCGAGGATGAAGGACCGATGGTCGACGAGGGGGGTCGAAGAGGGAGGGGTGGGGGGTTGGTTGCGGACGGAGGAGAAGGCCCAACGTCCGATGCAAGCTCTTTGCCTATCGTTTGGGAACGAGGGGGGGGAGAGAGAGGGGAGGAGGAGGGGGTCTGATGCAGGAGGTCTTCTCAGAAGTCCGTGAGGACAGCACTTGACCCAAACACTTGTGCCAAACACTTATTCCCTACCTGGGATCTGCCTAGAAGGGTTCTTACTTTAGAGCTTCAAGGGCCGGGCAGTGTAAATCGCCCCGGGGGGGTCCCCCTGCATCCGCCCCGCGGTTCCCCCAGTTGCGCCCCTTGGGTTCACCCAGCTTAGTTTAGCTAAGCTTAGCTTAGCTTATCTCATCTTAGCTTAGCTTGGCTTGGCTTAGCTTAGCTTAACTTATCTCACCCTAGCTTAGCTTAGCTTAGCTTAGCTTAGCTTAGCTTAGCTTAGCTTGGCTTAGCTTAGCTTAGCTTAGCCTAGCCTAGCTTACCTTAGCTTAGCTCAACTTAGCTGGATGTAGGTGTAGATGTAGATAAATATGTAAATGTAGGTGTAGATGTAGGTGTAGATGCAGATGTAGATGTGAGTCTCGCTGTTGATGTAGATGTAGATGTAGATGCAGGTGTATATGTAAATGTAGCTGTCGGTGTAGATGTAGATGTTGCTTTCCTAAATGCTCCAACTCCTAGGTAGGGTCGCACTGGGATAATTTTGTGATATCGATCGCGGCGTCAAACTTGACTCTTCCAGCCCTCCCTCTGCTCGGACCACTTTCCTTCTATCTTTTCTTAATCTCTCCCTTAAGGGCCGCGCGCGGTCGGGCAGCGCTGTCTGAACGTCGTGCGCGTGAGCTGCTAAAGCAGTCTCGGAGCCTTCAGTTCTGTCCTGCATGTAGCAGCCATCGTTTCGTGTTGTTCGCATTGATTTCGAAAAAAAGGTATCCACTGTGTCACATTTGTCGATGCGTGGAGTATACGACGGCGGATGCGACGAAAGCTGTAAGAATGGACTGTTCGTTTTGCGTATGGTGTACCGTGCGCATTGGGTATGATCTTCACCGCATGTTTGCCCATTCCACCATCTTCTGTTTTGGTACAAGTGACACACCGATCTTTGTTGTCACGGTTCGCCTTGAGAGCAATCGTAGGTTTGGAAATTCGTCTTACGCTTCTGAGGGCAACATGTAAGCGACGAGTACGAGATGCAAACCCAATTCCAATGAGTGGTTATGTCCATTCGTTGTCATGTGCGTTCCTGCTTGCGTCAGTATCGGAGATGTCAGGGGGAAAGTGCCACGACGAGGAAGAGAAGGAGGAGGCGTGGGAGTGGGAGGAGGAGGAGGAGGAGGAGGAGAAGGATCTATGTGTGTGTGCGTGTGCGTGTGCGTGTGCGTGTGCGTGTGCGTGTGCGTGTGCGTGTGCGTGTGCGTGTGCGTGTGCGTGTGCGTGTGCGTGTGCGTGTGTGCGTGTGTGTGTGTGTGTGTATGTGTGTGTGTGTGTGTGTGTGCGCGTGCGTGCGCGTGCGTGCGCGTGCGCGCGCGTGTGCGTGTGCGTGTGCGTTGTGCGTGTGCGTGTGTGTGTGTGTGTGTGTGGTGTGTGTGCGGTGCTGGTGTGTGTGTGCGTGCTGTGTGCTGTGTGCTGTGTGCTGTGTGTTGTGTGTTGTGTGTTGTGTGTTTGTGTGTTGTGGGTGTGTGTGTGTGTGTTGTGTGTTGTGTGTGTGTGTGTGTTGTGTGTTGTGCGTGTGTGCGTGTGTGTTGTGTGTGTGTGTGTGTGTCGTGTGTGTGTGTGCGTGCGCGTGTGCGTGTGCGCGTGTGCGTGTGCGTGTGCGTGTGCGTGTGCGTGTGCGTGTGTGCGTGCGTGTGCGTGTGCGTGTGCGTGTGCGTGTGCGTGTGCGTGTGTGCGTGCGTGTTGTGCGTGTGTGTGTGGTGTGGCGTGTGCGTGTGCGTGTGCGTGTGCGTGTGCGTGTGCGTGTGCGTGTGCGTGTGCGTGTGCGTGTGCGTGTGCGTGTGCGTGTGCGTGTGCGTGTGTGTGTGTGTGTGTGTGTGTGTGTGTGTGTGCGCGTGCGCGTGCGCGTGCGCGTGTGCGTGTGCAAAATGGGGAAGGGGTCCTGGACCAGGGGGGGCCCCGCTGTGGTCCCCCCCCCCTCCCCGGAGGCGCCAGGACGCTCCCAGGATCGCCTAAAATGGCTCCAGGATGCCCTCAGGACAGCCCAAGAGAGGTCCGAGACGGCCCGGGAGCACTCCAAGACGGCTCCAGATGGCTCAAAAAGCTTCCAAAGCGTCCCAGTAGGCCTCCGACAGCACCCCCGGGAAGGGCCGAAGAGGCAAACATCATTGATGTTTAGTTGTTTTTGAGGGATTTTAGCGTTCTCCCCAGTTTGGTTTCCCAACTCTCCAAGATGGCCCAAAAGGCCCGAAATATGACCTGGAGACGGGCCAAGAGACTTCCAAGAAAGCGCCGAAACAGCCCAAGAGGGCCCAAAGACGGCCCAAGAGGCTCCCAAGATGGCCGAAAGGGCACCACAAACACCCCAAGAGGGGCCCCAGAGGGGGATCACGAACCGAATTTCAAGCCCTCGCCCACTTGAAGCCCTCAAGAGGCCCCCAGGAGTCCCCAAGAGACCCTCGAGATACCCCCAGGAAGCCCCAAGAGGCCTCCAAGAGGCCCCCGAAAGATCCCCAAAAGGCTCCCAAGAGGCCCCAAGAGGAAGCCACGAAGTACCCAAGAGGCCCCCGAAAGCTTTCCAAGAGGCCTCCGAAAGACTTCCACCACACATGTCCCAACAGGCATCCAGCAGGCCTCTGGCCCATTTCCCAGGCATGGCGGCCTCAGGCCCACAACCCAAGTCCCCTAGACGGCTCAAGCGGCATCCAAGACGCTGCGGAAATATCCACGAGTTCGGCGGGAGAGCCCCCGCAAGCACAACTGAAAAAGGGCGCCGCGTGTCGTCACAGTCGTTCGCGCCGGCCCCATCATCACTGCTGTCATGACTATTGCCGCACGTCGTGGCTCCAGGGTCAAGCTGCTTTTTGCGAAGCATGCCCCACACGTATCACAAGCCAGAGCGCACATGTTTGAGTTTCCCGCTTTGCACCAGAAACGTGGCCCGTCCCAGGGTCGATGGTCGGCGGACGCTGTCTCAGCACTGCTCCACGTGCTTGCCGTCCGCCCTCTGTGCGCACCTGGATTGCACAAACCACTGCGCCCCATCGTCCAAGAAGTTCAATCCGCACGGCCTGCGTGCAGCTCACATGAAGGACCCTGCTCACAGACCAACACTGGAGTGGGCCATGCGCAGGAACAACCGAACCGCTGTGCACTGTCGTCAACTCGCACTCCAGCGCGCAAAGGGATTCTGCTTTGCCTGCACGAAAGGCCATCTACCATGTGTGAATGCACGCTTGGGTTGCCGACATCACGATTTCATATCCACACGAGAAAACAAGCGACGGGCCATGCACAATTATCAAGAAACGTGTCCGTTCGACCCTTGCCGGCACCACGTGTGAAACACGCTTTTTTGCACGAGCGAACCCGACACGACCGTGTCACTAAGATGCACTGCGTGCGACAGCGGACGTACACCATGCGTGAACGATTGCGGTCGACGGGCGTCCGGAACTGCCCGGGCCCGTTCCCAAACACGCCACGCCACGCCAAGAGGGCCCTAAAGATTGCCAGGACAGCCCCAAGAGGCCCCGGACGCACTGAAGATGGCTTCAGGACGGCCGACGACGCCGCCAAAACGCCCCCAAAGCGCCTCCAGAGGCCCCTCCAAAGGGTACCAAAAGCCGAAACTCATACATTTTCCGATGCCTTTCGAAGCATATTTGCGCTCTCGCATGTTCCGCCTCCCCACGATTCCGGACGGCCTCAGAGGCCCTTTAGAGCGCTCCAAGGCGGCCGAAGAGGCTCCCAAGAAAGCCCAGAGACGGCCCAGGAGGCCCCCCAGATAATTCAAGAGGGCCTCGAGAGCGCCCCAAGAGAGGCCCAAGAGCGAACCAAGAGGGCCCGAGGAGCGCGATATGTCAAGGCTTCCGGCCTGAGAGGCTCCTAGGACGCCCCCAGAGGCCATCGAGAGGCTCCCATGAAGCCCCTCGAGGCTCCCAAGATGCCCCCTGGAAGCGGCCAACAAGGGGCTCCCACGGAAGCCCCCTGCGGGCCCCCAAGACACTTCGCTAATTTTTGTTTCCCAGACAGCTTGCTGAGGAAATGATTCCTTGGGCCACCGCCCCAACCATGTTTCCAATAGGCTTGCCGACAAGGCCAAACGGGGCCCCTCGGTAAGCTCCCAGAGGCCCCCCTCTTAAGAGAACCGAGCAAATCATGCTCCCGGAAAGCGCCCCGGCAACATGATTCTCGGGATGCCGCCCTCTGCCCAAACCATGTTCCTTAACGCCTGCCAGGAAAGAGACCGAGAATCCCAAGCAGCGCTACCTGCCGCCACGCTCGGAAACGCGTCAGGCCCCGAAGCCTCCGTGGGCGCCCAACGACACCCCATCAAATCATGTTCTCAGGAAGCCTCCTGGGGACATGATTCCTCAGGCTTCCGCCCCCGGCCCCAACCATGCGTTCCAAAATGCTTGCCGGGCAGCCCCCAAATGGGCCCTCATACGTGCCATCATGTTACCAGAAAGCTCTCCGAGAACATGATTCCTCAGGCTTCCGCTCCCCGCGCGCAACGTCTGTCCGAAAGCGCCTGTCAAGCAGGACTCGAATGGGCCCTCAAGTACTTTCCTAGAAACCCCACAAGATGTTGATGATGACGATGATGATGACGAGGGTGACGATGATGATGGTGATGGTGATCGTGATGGTTGTGACGATGTTGACGACGATATCCACGACCACGCTGATGATGACGAGGAGGAGGAGGATGACGATGCGGATGATAATGGTGGTGTGGATGTTGATGTTCATGATGATGATGATGATGATGATGATGATGATGATGATGATGATGATGATGATGATGCTGATGATGATGATGATGATGATGATGACGATGATGACGATGATGACGATGACGATGGTGCTGCTGCTGATGATGATGCTGATGCTGCGGCGGACGACGACGACGACGACGACGACGTCGGACCTTTTCGGGCCTCCTCGGAGCGTTTACGGCCGGAAGGCTCCAATTCTCGGTTGATGTTTCCCCTTTTGGCAGTTTTTGGGGCCGTCTTTGGACTCCCTTGGGCTGTCTTCGGAACCTCGTAAACCGTTTTGGGGCCCTCCTGGGCCGTCTCAAGAGGACCCTCTTGGAGCCCGTTTTTTATTTCTTGGGGCATGACGGGCGTCATGGCCCCCGCTCCCCCTCCCCATGACGTGACGCTCCCCCCCAGTGCGCTCCAGGCTCTGCCGCCGTGCGCATTGGGATCCGCGTGGGAATCCGCATAGGACTTTGGTCCGCAGTCGTCATCGTCGTCGTCGTCGTCGCTCGTGGCTCGTCGCTCATCGTCGTCGTGCGCGCGGACGAGGACCAAGTGGACCGATTCAATCGACCATTTTGCGGTGCACGCTGGGATGCGCACGTGCGCTGTAGCGCCAACCCGCACGACCGGGGGTAAGGAGGAGGAGGAGGAGGGGGAGGAGGAGGAGCAGGGGGGAGGGGGAGGAGGAGGGGGAGGTGGAGGTGGAGGTGGAGGAGGAGGAGGAGGAGGAGGAGGAGGAGGAGGAGGGAAGAGGGAAGAACGTCGCATTCGATTATCAGCATTTCTGGCGTGGCGTTTAGTTGTCCGCAACAAATCCTCACGTACATGCTCCTTCTACTTGTCCTATGCACGCACGCGCTGTGGTGTACAACAGCGCTGCGTTGCACGCGGATGCTGTGGTGTAGACAGGCGCTGTGGCGTGCACGGGCGTTGCGATGCGCGCAAGCCTTGTGGCGTACACAGGCGCTGTGTTGCACATGGTTGCTGCGGTGTACACATGTAC